GTTTCACTTGTTTCTTTTTTATGACATAGTTGCCAAGAATTCGTGTTTATACGTCAGCTTAGATTCCGGATCCGTTTCAACTTTGTATTCTACTTTATTTAATAAAATATTATAGATAAAACAACAGTTAAATTTATCCCAAAAAAAACATTCAACTTATATTACAGAAGACCAGTTATCACAAAAAACTAAATGTATCTATTAATGTGCATATAGATGTTTAAAAGTATTTTATAAGATAAAAGTTTTTTTCGCTATTTAAAGGCTATGCCACCTCACGTAACTTCAAACTCACTCAAAGTAATTTCACCATTTTCTTCGGTTTCTTCTCCACACAAACACTTTTGCTCAAATCAGAGCTCACACTCTGTTTTAAGAAGCTTCTCTGTTTCTTCTCCAAACCATTTTTTTTTTATAAATCAAGCTTAATTATGGAAGTGTCGGAAAAAACCACCGGAGATTTCTCAAAATGTCACGATTTGATTCCCGGTTTACCATCTGCATTAGCTATGGAGTGTTTGGTCAGAGTACCGTACCAATTTCAACCGGCCATGAAATCCGTTTGCCGTTCTTGGAGATGCTTACTCTCCGACTCTTCTTTCATCAGAGAGCGGCGGAGATGCGGCAAAGCAGAGCTTCTTCTCTGTCTCGTTCAACCGCTTATACCGCCAATTCCAGCGTCTAAAGCGGTTGTGGAGACACTAGTGGAGGAGGAGAGTGAGAAGCAGAAGCAGCCGCGCGTTTTTGGTCTGCCGCGGTTTGGGTTGAGCGTTTATAACGCTTCGATGGCGACGTGGAATCGCGTTGCGTTTCCCGAGGATAAGCAGATCCCGCTTTTCTGCGAGTGCGTTGTGCTTCAGGAATCTGGGAAGATTCTGATAATAGGTGGTTGGGATCCGGTGACGTTACAGCCGGTGAGAGATGTTTACGTTATTGAATTTGCCGGAGAAGGAAGCGGAAGGAGGTGGAGAAGAGGTTCGCCGATGAAGGAATCTCGATCGTTCTTCGCCTGTGCTTTAGTCGGTTCGACGAAAGTTTACGTCGCCGGAGGTCACGATGATCAGAAGAACGCATTACGCTCGGTGGAAGTGTACGACGTGGAGAAAGACGAGTGGTCGACGATTCCTCCGATGAAAGAAGAAAGAGACGAATGTCAAGGATTCGCCATCGGAACGGATCTAGGGTTTTGCGTATTGAGCGGTTACGCGACTGAATCTCAAGGGAGATTCCGATCCGACGCAGAGATTTACGATCCAGTTACAAATTCATGGTCTCAAATCGAAAACATCTGGCCGTTTCCGGATACTAGCCCTAGAGGTCGCATCGCCGGAGATATTAGAGGATCCTCGAGGCTATGGTGCTTCACCGATCGTGAGTTACAAAGCGAGCCTCGATGTGAGGACGATTCGAGGAAATGGAAACTGGAACTTGAAACTATTCAGTTTCCGGTGAGTGGAAGCTCGGTTTTCGCCGGAAGCTTAGGAGGTGAAGCGGTGGTAATGGTTAGTG